GAACGTTGAGGGGTGTGCGAAATGGTGGTGGGGAGGCATGCGAACGCAAGCCAGGTGCCACTGGGCCTTCGGTGGAGCTCCCTATGGGGCCACGAAACGTGTTGAGGGGTGTGCCAGAATGGGGGGTGGAACCGCATGCGGGCGCAGCCACTGGGGCCTTCGGTGGAGCTCCCTATGGGGCCACGAAGCGTGTGAGGGGTGTGCCAGAATGGGGGGTGGAACCGCATGCGGGCGCAGCCACTGGGGCCTTCGGTGGAGCTCCCTATGGGGCCACGAAACGGGTGAGGGGTGTGCCAGAATGGGGGGTGGAACCGCATGCGGGCGCAGCCACTGGGGCCTTCGGTGGAGCTCCCTATGGGGCCACGAAAAGTGTGAGGGGATATGTGTGCGAAATGGGTGGGTGGAGGCATGCGAACCCTGCCCTGGAGGCCTTAATCACTGAGTTCCCCTATGTTTTTTTTTTGTTTATTTTTTTCTTAAGGCCACGAAACGGTGAAGGGTGTGCCGAATGGGCGGTGGGGCAGGCACGCGGACCATGCCAACAGGGGGCCTAATTTATACTTCGGTGGAGCTCCCTATGAGGGCACGAAACGTTAACTCAAAATACCCCTATACGTAGTTGTTTGGAGGGGTGTGCCGAAATGGGTGGTGGGGAGGCATGCGAACGCAGCCACTGGGGCCTTCGGTGGAGCTGCCTATGGGCCACGAAACGTGTGAGGGGTATGCCGAAATGGGCGGTGGGAAGGCATGCGAACGCAGGAGGGAGGAGGGCGAGGAGAAGGAGGAAGAAGGAACGCGGGGACCGTTTCTTCAAAACGAGGACCCAACACCACAGGACGGTTGGGAATTAGCCTGGCGAAGGACCCAACCATACGCAACTGCGAATACCGCGAGGGGAATGGGACGAAGGAGGGGCGCACGCAAACTACAAGTGGCGCGAGGCATGGCCCCTGTTGCCATGGGCACTGCGCCACAGCACGGACGAGGCGCAAGACAGCGCGGGCAAGAGGTGGCTGGAGAAGGAGGAGAGCGCACTGGGCGATCCAACACATCAGTATCATCATCGCATCGTCAGACCTGTTACTGGGCACGCAGGAAGATGTCACGGAGAAGCCGCGCAAATGTCAGGGGCAGGCCAGCGACGGAAGAGACGAGACTGGGGGGCCCGCGGTCAAGAAGCAAAAGGAAGCCAGAGGAGCGAGAGACGAGGGGTTACATTTTTGCCTCCGGGCCGATAGCGAGCCACGCAGAGTGCACTGCGCAGGCGGCGCCGCTCGAAAGTGGCTGGGGAGTCCCCACCGACGCGGTCTGGTCATCCCGAGGGAATCCCATCGACGCGCGGGGGTCGTCCACTGCGACTCAATGTAAACGGATAGCTCCCCCGTGCTGCGCGGCGAGGCTATGCGAAAACGGCGCGATCTGGGTGAAATCCCCCGACAGGCGCCGGTCATCCTCTGGCGAGAAATCCCGACGACGAGCTGGGGTCAACCAAGCGTCAGCGACCACCAGCGCGCGCCGCTGGCTCGCGCGGGGCCGCTTCCCAGGTCAGGCCTCGCGGATGAACTCGCTGAAGCCGAGCTCCCTGGCGAGGGCCGTCGCCTCCCTCCTGCACCGCTTCGTGCGCGCAGCAAACTGCTCCAGCTGCTTCCGCAAGCCCGCCGTCGGCCCTGCCAGGAAGAACTCGATGAGCGGCGCCCGCATGAGCAGGAGATCCTCGTGGCGCGTGGCGCGCGAGAGCAGCATGTAGAGCTCCAGCCACCAGTCCTCGTCCTCCTTCTTGCCGTTCCCGACCTCGTGGCGGCCGCAGTCCAGGATCACATCCTTCTCCTCACATCATGGGTCGCGCGAGTCGCCCTCCGAAGAGCACAACAGTGACGACAGCTACGAGAACTGAATATTCGTTCGGTTTCGAACATGAAGCTGCGGGCCCCACAGGCGCCCCGCATGCGGGCGCAGCGCCTGGGGCCTTCAATGGAGCTCCCTGTGGGACCACAAAACGTTCCTGGGTGGGGCCTTCGGTGGAGCCCTCTATGGGGCCTTCGGTGGAGCTCCCTATGGGGCCACGAAGCGCTGCCCTGGGTGGGGGAACCGCATGCGGGCTGTGCCACTGGGACCTTCGGTGGAGCTCCCTATGGGGCTACGAAACGCTGCCCTGGGTGGGGGAACCGCATGCGGGCTGTGCCACTGGGACCTTCGGTGGAGCTCCCTATGGGGCTACGAAACGCTGCCCTGGGGGGGGGAACCGCATGCGGGCTGTTGCCACTGGGACTTAGGTGGAGCTCCATATGGGGCTACGGGAAACGCCGTCCTGGGGGGGGGGAACGCATGCGGGCTGTGCCACTGGGACCTTCGGTGGAGCTCCCTATGGGGCTACGAAACGCCGCCCTGGGTGGGGGAACCGCATGCGGGCTGTGCCACTGGGACCTTCGGTGGAGCTCCCTATGGGGCTACGAAACGCTGCCCTGGGTGGGGGGACCGCATGCGGGCTGTGCCACTGGGACCTTCGGTGGAGCTCCCTATGGGGCTACGAAACGTGTGAGGGGTGTGCCGAGAGCAGAGGCAAGGAGGGGGAGGAGGGAGGAGGGCGAGGAGGGGGAGGAGGAGGAGAGGAGGTGGGACGCGGGGCGCTGTCTTTTCAAAACGAGGACCCAACACCACAGGATGGTTGGGAAAAAGTCTCGAGCGGGAGTGTTGTTCTGGCTGGGGGCGGCGCCGATGAGAGAAAGAATAGCGCGCCAGTGCAAGGTAAAACGGGAAGAAATCTTGAGCGGGAGCGTTGGTTTTGTTGGGGCGGCGATTTTCAGCGGCAAGCAAGAGCACCGGCTCTGGGTAAAAAAGGAGGAAGGCTCGAGCGGGAGCGTTGTTGTTGTTGTTGGCAATGCCGCTGATTAAGGAAGGCTTCTTGGAAGCCCGGAGTGCCGTTAAGAATGGCCCTGAGCTCACCCGCCTCCTTATCGGGTCGGGCGGAAGGGGAGGAAGCAGAGCGGGGGGCGCGAATTAGCTCGCGTAGCTCACTGGTACTACTGGCGCCTGCCAGCGCTGGGAGGCGCCGATGTGAGGAAAGCGCCCGGCGGCAAGCCCGAGACGTGCTGCACGCGACAGATGTCCTACCCCCCCCCTTTCCCTATCCCAACCTGTTTCGTCCGACCCGATAAGAGTGCATCTTAGGGGCTGGGAGGAAGGAGAAGGAGGAGGAGGGAGGAGGGAGGAGGGAGGGAGGAGGGGGGAGGGAGGGAGGAAGGCAGGGGGAGGCAGGGAGAGGAATAAGGATGAGGAGGAGGAGGAGGAGGAGGAGGAAGGAGGAGGAGGAGTGAGGAGGAGGAGGAGGAAGGGAGGAGGGAGGAGGGAGGAGGGAGGAGGGAGGGGGGGGGAGGGAGGGGGAGGGAGGGGGAGGGGGAGGGAAGGAGGGAGGAGGAGGAGCAGGGAGGGAGGAGAGGAGGAGGAGGAGGAGGAGGAGGAGGGGGGAGGAGGAGGAGGAGGAGGGAGAAGGGAGGAGAGGAGGAGGAGGCGGAGGAGGAGGCCAGGAGTGAGAGAGGAGCGAGGAGGAGGAGGGGAGGAGGAAGGAGGGGGAAAGGAGGAGGATGAGGAGGAGCAGGAGGAGGAGGAGAAGGAGGAGGAGGAGAAGGAGGAGGAGGGAGGAGGGAGGAGGGAGGAGGGAGGAGGGAGGAGGAGGGAGGAGGAGGGAGGAGTCAGGAGGGAGGAGGGCGGAGGGCGGAGGGAGGAGGGAGGAGGGAGGAGGGAGAAGAGGAGGAGGAGGAAGAGAACCAGTGTAAACCAAAGGGGGCATCAACGATGTTGGAATAAACCCTCCCTCCAAGCTCCCTCTTCAAAGGCCCCTACAATGGTTCATATTTACTGAGGGAACTGCCTCGTTGGACGACAACTGCTTGAAGACCATGAAGCATGCCGGAACATTGTTCTCGGGATTTCAACGCCACAGAACGACCTGGACGTTGCGTCTTGATGATCCTGATTCGTGCCAAAAAGCCATTCCTGGGACTTGAACACCGCGAATCAAGATAACTGGTGCACCCTCATAAGCCTGAATCCTTCCAAAACACAACTTCTGGTACGTTGGTCATGGGAATCTGCGAGACCCTTTGCAAATGTTCAGACGAATGTGCGCGGCGCTAAAACGAGAACCACATGTTGAAAAGGTACCGCCCTCGATCCGTGAAACTCTTGCACATGTTTAAGACGAATGTTCGCGGCGCTAAGGCGAAAGCCACATGTTGAAAACGACTCGCCCTCAATCCGTGAAACTCTTGCACATGCTTAAGGCGAATGTGCGCGGCGCTGGGGCGAGAGCCACATTTTGAAAACGTCCCGCCCTCCATCTGTGAAGCTGCTGCCAATGTTTGTAGCCTTCGGAATCATAAATGGTGGGAACGTCTCAGACGAAACGCCCAGCCCGCCCTAAAAACTGGCATCGGGGTGCGACAGGGAGAAGTTATGTATAAGGAGAAGAAATGGAGGAGGAGAAGGAGGAGGAGGCGGAGGAGGAGGAAGAGGAGGAGGAGGAAGAGGGGGAGGAGGAGGAGGAGGAGGAGGGGAGGAGGAGGAGGAGGAGGAGGAGGAGGAGGTGGAGGAGGAGGAGGAGGAGGAGGAGGAGGTGGGAGGAGCGAGGAGGAGGCAGGTGGGGAGAGGAGGAGGAGGAGGGGGGAGGAAGGGGGAGGAGGGGGGAGGAGGGAGGGAGGAGGAGGAGGAGGAAGGAGGTGGAGGGAGGAGCCGAGAGGAGGAGGAGGAGGAGGAGGAGGAGGGCCTTCGACCAGGCCCCCAGCCAGCCTTCCCACAGGCAGGGCCGCCCCACCCACCCCGCCCTCCCTTCCTGCGCGCCGCTGGCATGCACAGCCAAGATCCTAAGGGCACCCCAACAAAAGAGCCCCCTGTCGAGGCCTCCCTTCTCCTTCACCCTCCTCCTCCTCCTCCTCCTCCTCCTCCTCTTCCTCCTCCTCTTCCTCCTCCTGATTGCGGTGGCACCGCCCCGCGCGCCCGAGGGCCTCCCGCGGCTGCAGCTCCTGAAGCGCAGGTAGCGGCCGTCGACGTCGGAGCTGCCGCTGCCCTGCACGACCAGCACCCTGGCAGGAGCAGCCGGCAGCGGATCGGGAAGCTCGGGAGAGAGACAGCGACATAGGGGAACAAAAAATGGCATAAACATAAAAACTCTGAGGTCCGCGCGGATTTCTCGGATCGGCGCTGGGGCCCCCCGGCGGCGCCTCTGGCGCCGCCCCTGGCGCGCTCCGCGCGCCAGGGAGTGGGGTCAGCGCCGATCCGAGAAATCCGCGCGGACCTCCGAGTTTTCATGTTTCTGCCACGTTTTGTTCCCCTACGACAAGCTGCACGAGCATCGGCTTCTCGGAGGTCCGACCAAATCTCCTGGATCGGTGCCGGACCCCGACCCCCCTCCCCGACGCGCGGAGCGCGAGCGGCGCCGAAGCGCCCCGCCAGGGGGGGCCCAGCGCAGATGCAAGACATCCGCGCGGGCTTCCAAAAAGTCTACAGTATAGGAATATCTTCTGATATACCTCGAATCAGAAGTTCCCGCCCATCCAGATTGATGCTTCTCGTCATGCTGAATCCATCGCTGCAAATCAGAACTGTGTAGCTCGCTTCCTGCTTCAGTTAAGTTCACGGAGCCATTATTATCTGGGAAATGTATCCCGACGGGCGACGGTTTCCATTCCCGACACGTGCGGTACGATGAAAAGTCCTGGTATGAGAAATCCTGGGGCACAGTCTTCGCCTATCTCTCAGGGTCCCAGGGCGCCCCCAAGAATTTCTGTGGGTCCATGGGGCCAGCAGGGGATAAAAAAGACTTCCCGTGCGGGGCCTCCTTGGCAGGCCGAGTTCTTATGCGATGTGCCCACTGTCTGTCCATGCTGCTTGCCTTGTTCGGTACAGTCAACCCGCAGAGTAAGGATGCGCGATAAGGATGCAAGGGCCTTGGACGCCCATCTCGAAGCGTTTCGAGCGGGGCGCGGCCAAAGAAAGTGTCCAAGGGTGGACCGAGGAAGCAAGGATGCAAGGGCACCCTTGGGAGGGATGCCTATCCTTACTCTGCAGGTCGTCTGCACTGCCTGTCCATGCTGCTTGCAATGTTCGATCGATCAGGCCGGAGCGGAGCGTGCGTCGGACCGGGCCGCACCGGCACAGGAGCCGGAATCGCGCGGGACCGGCCGCGCCAGGCCCTGCACAGCGACGCCGCGCGAGCGCCGGGCGCTCGCGTCGGAGCGCCGCGGAGCACCGGCAGCGGATCGGGCCGGGCCCCGCCGAATTCTCCTCCTCCTCCTCCTCCTCCTCCTCCTCCTCCTCCTCCTCCTCCTCCTCCTCCTCCCCCTCCTCTTCCTCTTCCTCCTCCTCCTCCTCCTCCTCCTCCTCCTCCTCCTCCTCCTCCTGGCGTCGAAGCGCGGATCGATCCGATCGGAGTGGGGCCTGTCGTCATGGGTCACGCGGCCTTCGGGCCACAACTCTCGAGCCTCCCGCGGCCGCCCGGGACAGTCCGGGCGCCCCGGGAGCGCTCTGGGCGAGGCGCGGCTGCCGAAACGCTTCCCGAGGCAAAAAACATCGCCCCAAAAAGACGCACGCGCACAGCCACGTACGCGATTACGCCCCCCAGTTAGTGAGAACACCTTTATACCACACACACACACACACACACACACACACGCTCGCGTGATGCACTCTCTCGAAGCCCATGCGAACTTGTGCTGTACGCGTGCCCAGGCCTCCTCCGATGGTTGTGCAATCCGCTGCCCATGAGCTCCCGACCCCTCTTCCCGGGGGGAGGCTTGCATCCCGGATCCGTCTCTGGGGCCCGATAACGGGCCTCTCCGTGCGCACAGCTAGGACAAATGCCTGGGTAACAACAAAAATCCTCAGAGATCTGCGCAAGTCTTTCTCTCGCCCCTGGAGTAGCGAAAGAACCCGCGCAAAGGAGGCATACGCGTACGCCCCTGCCGCTCCTGAGAGAGCAGAGGAGCACGAGCGGAGGTTGGAGGCGCCTTCAAGGGGGTGGCGCGAGGGGGTGGGCTTCCAAGAAGGCGGCCAGGGCTTCTTAGAAGGCAGGGGTCCTCTGAGAAGGCCCTGGAGGCTTCTAAGAAGCAAGGCAGCCCTCCCAGTGCCACCCCCTTGTGCGCGCCGCCAAGAATAGAAGCCTCCCAAATGGGGTCCGAAGAGGACTACCTACCAGACCACCCCAACCCAACCCGAAGACCCGAATTTCGGGTGGGGGGGGTACGGGTTCCATATGTGTTTTTGTTCAATGTTCCACGACCCCCCCACACTGGAAATGGAGGGCAAATTGAGGCCTTCGGGTTGGATTGGGTTGGTTTGGTGGGTGGCGAGAATGGATGCGGTCAGAGGATCGCGCCACATCGCCGATGTATCGGCGATGCATCGCCGACGTCGGCGCGATCCTCCAGCCCCATCACTCGGACCCCATCTTGGAGGCCTGGACAGGAGGAGGCCACCGTGACTTTTGTTCAACACGTCGACCCCCAGAGGTCTCGACCCCTGACCCGAGACCAGCTTCTCGTTTTTTGACGGCGCCGAGGCCGGTAAGGGCCCCCGAAGGTCGAAAACAGCGAAAAATTAAGTCGGGCTTGTCCCCCTACAGGAACATTTCCAATGAAAAACTGGAATGTATCAAACAATGCTCAAACATTTTCAACAAAAAATCGTCCCCAGAATATGTTTTACAATGTTTGAATATCCCTCCTGCAGAGGGACGGGCCCGACTTGACCCGAAGGTCGAAAGCAGCGAAGAACCTCCCGCCGTGACTTCTCCGCGGCGCGAGGGTGAAGGGGGCCCTGGGACACACACAAATAGATAGGCACAAATAGCAGGATTCCCCAGTTTTCCTAGATTTTCTATATTTTTTGTGGTCCCCCCCCACTTGCCACAGCTTCCCATATTGTCGGGGGAGTCGATGACCAGCCTGGGAACAGATCCCCATCCCTAAGCTGGGCATCGCCGCATCACAATGCCCATCTCAGGGATCCACTCAGTTTTCCAGGGCGCACCCCTAAGATTGTCATCGCCTTTTGGCGTGTCAATCTGAGGGATGAGAATAAGTTCGAGGCTGGTGATGTCTCCTGTGGAGGAGGAGGAGGAGGAGGAGGAGGAGGAAAAGGAGGAGGAGGAAGGAAAGGAGAAGGGAGGTTAGAGAGGAGGAGGAGGAGGAGGAGGAGGAGGAGGGAATGGGGAGGAGGAGGAGGGATTGAGGAGGAGAGAGAGGAGGAGGAGGAGGGAGGAGGAGGACAATGAATTGGGTCTGTGTTTGTGTGTTTTGCCTTCCGGAAGAGGGGCCCCCCAGCGCAGGCGGCCTGGGCGCCCGCCCGGGGTCGCCCTCCGCGTGCTCGGCGTCGGAGCCCGAGGCGGGGGGCTCGCGCGCGGTGCGGTGCCGCAGCCGCCGCGCGGGCGGCGCCGCGGGCGCCGCGGGCGCCGCGGGCGCCGCGGGCTCGGCGGCCAGAGGGCCCGCGGGTCCACGAAGAAGAGAAGGGGCAGGCAGCAGCACGCCAGGGGCCTCTCCTCCTCCTCCCTCCTCCCTCCCTCCTCCCTCCTCCCTCCTCTCGTCCTCCTCCCTCTCCTCCTCTCCTCCTCTCCTCCTCCTCCTCCTTCCTCTCCTCCTCCTCCTCCCCTCCTCCCCTTCCTCCTCCCTCCTCCTCCTCCTCCTCCTTCCTCCTCCTCCTCCTCCTTCCTCCTCCTCCTCCTCCTCCTCCTCCTCCTCCTACGCCTCCTCCACCTCCTCCTCCTCCTCCTCTCCTTCCTCCTCCTCCTCTCCTCCTCCTCCCCTCCTCCTCCTCCTCCTCCTCCTCCTCCTCTCCTCCTCCTCCCATCCTCCTCCTCCCTCCTCCTCCTCCCCTATCCTCCTCCTCCCTCTCTCTCCTCCCCTCCCTCTCCTCCTCCTTCCTCTTTCCCTCCTCCTCCTCCTCCTCCTCCTCCTCCTCCTCCTCCTCCTCCTCCTCCTCCTCCGCCCCTTCTCGTCGCAAAAGGGTCATGACGACAGGTTGTTGCTCATGTTCGGTCCCTGGAGGGCCCCTACTGGGCCCTGGGAGACCTGAGCTGGTCCCAGGGAATGGGTCGAGGCCTGGGAGCGTCAACGGTGTGAAAACGCCGGGGGTATAGGAAGCTGGAACTCAGTCTTCGTGCTACCATCAGGTACGCTGGGTAAGGAACGAAAAAGTTGTTCTGGCCACGACGTGCTTCGGTCACGAACAGGTCCCCTGGCCTAGAACCTAGAACTCTGAGTCGCTGCCTGGAAACCAGAGCCCCTCCTGAGCCCCAAGTGGTCCTTTTTCCAGCGTCTTGGCTGCAGGCGTGCCAGGAAGCTGGAACACACGCGCACACATAAACACACACACACGCGCACGCACGCACGCACACGCACACGCACACGCACACGCGCACGCACCCGCACACGAACACGCACACGCACACGCACACGCACACGCACACGCACACGCACACGCACACGCACACGCACACGCACACGCACACGCACACGCACACGCACACGCACACGCACACACACACACACACACGCGCGCGCACAAACGCACGCACGCACACGCACACGCACACGCACACGCACACGCACACACAACACACAACACACAAAACACAACACGCAACACGCAACACACAACACACAACACACAACACACAACACACAACACACAACACACAACACACACAACACACAACACACAACACACACACAACACACACACAACACACACAACACACACAACACACACACAACACACACACACAACACACACAACACACAACACACACAACACACAACACACACACACACACAACACACAACACACACAACACACACACACACGCGCGCGCACAACTCACACACTTTTTGGCGGTCGCGGCCTCGCGCGTAGCGTCGAGACGGAGAAAATCACCGAACTGGCGGGCGCGCGCGGCGGGCCGCTCAGAGCGCCCTGGGACCCGTACTGGGTCAACCGTGCCATCCGCATATCCGGGCGCGGGCAGCGAGGGTGCAGCGGGTGGCAAGTACGACGAGCGACGAGGCCGTGCGCGCCAGTGTGAGCGGCCGTATGCACGAGCACACGGAGGCGACGCAGAGTCCAGAGAAGCAAGGATGACGGTACAGCGCAGGCGCACCACCCGTGCGGACGCGGGGGCGAGGCCCTGGGCAGGGGAGGGGCCGAGGTTGGACGCGGCACGAGTGCGGGGCCAGCCCCACCTCGTCGGCCAGTCCCACGGGCGCCAGTGCCAGGACAGGCGAGACTGGCGTGGGCGGAAGGCACGCTACTGTCCAGAGCGGCGCTGGGGTGGGCGCCCCGGCCGAGGCGGGTCCCGCGAGGGACCGCGCTTCTGCGAGCTTGGCTCGTCGACTGAAGCCGGGGGCGCGGACGGCGGCTCCCAGACCACAGGGACGCTCAGGATGAAGGTGCAGAGCTGCTCTTCGGAGTAGACATGAGGGTCCGTCTTGGAGGAGCCGACCATTGCGGGCCCATTGACACGCGTCCAGTCCTGCCAAGGGCTCGCATGGCCCCCCGCCGGGCGACAAGATCCAGCCAGGAGGAATCCACAGCAGGGTCACCAGGAGCGGGGACGGGTGCAGGAAGCAGGAGGGGTGGGCGCAGGCCGCTTGGCGGAGGGCGCGCTGCCTGCTGGTGCGTTCGCGGGGGCGCTGGTGCGACGTGCGATCACGGCTCCTGCGGAGCTGACACCCGTACTGGTTGGCGCTCCCGAGCCTGCGGATCCAGGGCTGGGGGGGGAAAGGGGGCCCGCCGGACAGCAGGGGAGGGGTGCCTGGCAGGCGCGCCAGAGCATCGCGCGACCGCCCGCGCTCGGGTGGGCGATTCTGCGTGCCGGGAGGCGCCCTGGACCGGGGCAACTTCTGGTAACACTCGAGCGGCATGCCAGGGATCGAGAAAGACATTTCTGCATGAACACAGCTTTTGTCGGAGGTCCGCGTGGGTTTCTTGGATCGGCGCTGGACCCCTCGCTGGTCCATGCCTGATTCCCGATCCCGTTTACAATACGGTGGCCTCGAGGATTCCCTCCCGAGGTCAGCCTCGCTGTCGGGTCGAAAGGCGAGAGAAGGGTCGTCCTCCAACTGCCCCCCCGCAAGGACCCACGGAGGCTAGGTACTGCCACTGTGCGAAAAAGCATGTGCCCAGGGGCTGCCCTCCCTCCAACGCGCCGGCCGACTGGCAACCGCCGCGCGGTGTGACGCCCTCCGTGTCCGACCCGCTCCCCCGCACCTCCTCTGCCCCATGGCTTACAGTCGGGGCGCTGAAGAAGGAACCCTTTTCGCTGGGGAGGGGCTCGGTGTTCCTTGATTGTTTCAAAGTTTGCCTCGGGTTTTCCTGAGGTTTTCCATAGGACATCGAGGTTGAACTTATGGGAAAAAGAGGCCTCGTTCCTTATTTAGGGTTCCTTGGGTCCACGCCTCGAGCTTACGGCGGAGGCGCGCCCCCTCATTCCCACGGCTGCGGCGCGCGCCACGGGGTGCACACATGATCTTCTGCCCCCCACGGCAGCGCCATTCGCTCCCCTCGCGCTGGTCACGCGGCCTCGGCCGCCAGTCGAGTCGGGGCGGCCCCGTCGGGCTCTCTATAGCCCCACGGCGTCGCCAGCTCCTCCTGGCCGGCAGCGCGCCCGCCAACCAGCTGCTGCAGGCCCTGGTGGCGGATCTCCCCCAGAGCCCGCAGCGCCGCTGCCGCGCTCCAGCCCGGGCCACTTCTGGCCCTCCCCGCATCCAATCGGTGGCACGCAGGCGCTGCCCCAGTCCCTTCGCCTCTGGCACCTGCTCACCCGCCCATCCAGTGGGACCTCCTTGATTGTGCCGACGCTGCGCTGGCCTGGCGTTCGTGCGACAAACCGCTCATTCGGGGAGCAGGGGGCCGACACCGC